GGCGATGCATCAGATATCGATTAAAACATTGAAAGAGGACAATCAATTTCATCTGGAATAGAAAAAAAATTCATTCAGTTAGTTTCATTTTATATTTCAATAAACATACCTTATCACGAATCCAATCGATTTGATCTAAAATAGAAAACAAAGTCGTTTAGTTAGTTTCATTTTCATCGAAATAAACATACCTTATCATGGAGACAATCGATTTGATCTAAAATAGAAAAGAAATTCATTTAGTTAGATTCATTTTATATTTCAATAAACATACCTTACCCACGGAAAAATTTTTAAGTGAAAACCGCAAGTAACCGTGGTATATGGTTTTGCGTTTTTCGGTGGCTTTACTGCACCGCGGGAGTCAGATCGTTTATTAGGTTTATAAACACCACCTGTAACCGCGTCTTGTAGCACCGCGGTTCTTGATGGTGTTTTGAAACCTAATAAACGGTCTGACTTCTGCGGTTCTATTTAACCGTTTCAAATCGCGACCTTTTGTACCGCGGTTGTATGCAACATTTCAAACCGCAGTCTCAAATGTTTCCAAAATAAAAATCTATATACATTTTTTACCTCTATAGGTTTTCCATATTTTTATTCATATATTTGTCACACTGTTGTAAACCGTATAGCATGCGTACCGCGATTGTCTTGTTTAAAACCACTTACGTTTTTTTCGTACTTACTGAAAGGCAGATGCGAACTACTTACTTTTGATTCAGAAGTTTCACTTGTTACCACTGTGCCATACCAAGCTATGGAAGTAACTTTCATTTTACTAGTCACAAGTTGAAATTAGCTGATTTTTTTTTAAGTATTAGTACTCAATGTGAAATATAATTGTGAATTCATAAATATTGTTTGTATTTGGGAATTCTTTCGGCATCTAATTTGCATCATCAAAACTGTAATTTTTTATTGATGATTTGCATGATTTTTTTATTCACTTAAACTATAAACTGTATTTTATAAGTTGATCAATACCTTATAGGCTCTATTTCATTTCATTTATTATATTTTATTTTATTTATTTCGTTGATATAATTTTCTCAGTAATAAATCAACATATAATTTTCCTATTTGTTTATATGTACACCGAACAGAATAAAGCCGTTAACATCTGTTCTGAATTTTTGTAAACAACCGTCATATAGACCGTTATGAATAACGACAGAGAGACAGTGAACATTTAAAAATTAATTACATATAGTCTGCTGCTGCTTTTTCTTCTCAATCAATACATGTGAAGCTATAAATACGCTGCATATATATGCTATAGCATCCAGTGTAGTTATCTACTATTGCAAATGAATCATATAGTTTGGAGTTTATATGATTATTTGTAAAAACAAATTGCTACACTGATTTTGCTAGAAACAACGCTTTCATTTAGAATGAAACGTTAATGCTTTTGTTGAATTGTTTTAGATTTTTGCTTATGGCATCAGCTGTGTTACCAAAGTCACTTCAACGTACAGATAGTGCGGGTCAACTAAATGTATTTTTATTATTAAAAAGAAAGTCAAATGATGATTTAATTTTGATATCAAGAGAGGATTTACCACCAACACTTCGTAGTGGAAAGTTAGTATTAAATCAAAAAGCAATTATTCGAGATGAAGAGCGAAATAGCATTGAGGGTATTCTTGTTTACACGCGTAAGTATATATAATTCTCTATAAAATATGCATTTGTATACTTTACTTTCTTAATATAATAGATACCGATCGTGATAATTGCCTGTCATTTAAGAAGCAAATGCTTGAAAATAAAATACATAATGATAAAGTAAACATTATTGCTAATTCTTCTACTGGACATTCATCATCATCACGTACGCGTGTCAATGCGCGATGTTCAACGACGATTGCAAAAAGACCAAATGTACCACCACCACCACCGTCAACAACACAAAAATCAACAAAATCATCGTCATCAAATAAAAAGCCAGCCGAAGCACCACCTAATGTACCAAATGAAGCTGATGACTATCAAGAGCATGATCTTGATAATTACAATACTGTTGATTTATTAGTTTTGATTCGTTATCAACACCAGCTACTTATGAAAAAAATAAGAGTCGAACAACATTTGATAGTACATTTGATGCATCTATTTCAGGAACAAATGAGAATGGCAATGATATTTATATCGATAAAACAAATGAATTATCTTTACAATTAGATCAGTA